AGTAAGTTAATTCTATAATATTTAATATAGAAGCTTCCTAGAAACTTCCTAGACGCTGCTTTGACTTCATATGTGTCTTTAATTGACTTTTTGGATTAGAAACATGGTCAACAAGTTGGCCATGTGCCACACATGTTGTTAGCTTGAAGATCAAGCTAACTATGTGGCCCACACGTAGAAAAACTTGCCTTGTAAGTCAAGGCATGTGTCCTACAAAGTCAACACATATTGAAGGTCCTATAGAACATCGCCATGTAGCCCCTAGTTAGATAGTATATATAGAGACAAGAGTGAAGGCTTCTTCACTCTTGTCAACTCCTTTCTTGCTTCTAGTCTAGTTTCAAGGGTCTCTAGTTTTCTTGTCTTTTGGCAATAGCCATTCTAGTTTCTCTTTTCAATATACATACTTATTATTCATATTTTGTTACTTTTCTTTGAGTGAAGGCTTACTTGTCTGAACTGTTTTTTCATTGAGTTCTTGTCCTTGACATTTTTTTTGAAGCCATACTTCTTATTTTGTGGTTGCATTGCTTCTTTAAATAATGTTGAATACTGTGCTTAAATTCTCCATAATACAAGCACAATCCTTTTTGACAAAAACAAGTCTTTTTTTGCTTAGTAAGAGATTTAAAATGTACCATATTAATTTGCATATCCTCTACTTTCAAATGTATGTATTGAAGAGATTTTGGTATTGCCATTGAATTATAGTAATATTGAGGCACACTTATATGACTCTTAGATCAAATTTCAAAAAATTGATTGTTACACTTTACAACAAAATTAATTACTTGACTCGATGTTTGAAGATTAGATAAATCAAGCATCAATTTTTTTTATCTCATATTGTAATCTATAAAAAAATTGGCTAACAAGCATAGCATCATTTTACTTGATATTAGTTACAAATTGTCAAAATTCTAAATCATATAATATTATTGATTGATTTTTCTATTGCAAAATATGGATCTTATTGGTTGCAATACAAATTGCATCATGTTTTTCATACATGAATCAAACATCTACTAAAAAAGCCTCTAGATTATCCAACATTGGATTTTATTATTTAAAAAAAGATGAAAACCATGATAATATTAAACTTAAAAGAAGTATATCAATGAATCTAACTTACAATCCAAAAATTGGATAACTTTAGAGTTGAAGTTCAATCACAAGTTGTACTTGATTGATAAATCTTCAAAACTTAGATCTTATGCCATCAAACTTCTTGGACAGTTCAATCTTTGGTTCTTTAATACTAGAAGCATATTTTATTATAAGTGAAGAGATATGATTTGGTATAGATGTTGAAGCAACTCCAATTATTTCTATATCTTTGCTCCTTGTCATTCTTGTTGCTTCTTATGATAATAAATTGAATTGATGCATTGCAAGTATTAATTCATTCAATTGTTCTTACATTTGTGTCATTGTAGTTTTCATTTTAAAAAGCTCTATCATGATAATATTTAGAGAAGAGAAGATATGTAATATTGCTCAAGATAAATAGAAGAGAGGACTTCAAAACAAAGAAAATACTAAGAATAATATTAATTTAAAAGAAGGTAATCCACAACTTCTAATATGCTTATGTCTTATCAAGAAAAAGGCATAATCTATTCTTAATGAAGAAAAGACAAAGCTTTCATATTGTAAGTATATTCTTATCAATTTGTCAAGGACAAAAATCCAATGAAAGCAAATAATCAAGTAAGACTTTTTTCAAAGAAGTATGACAAAATAGAAGTAAGGAAACATATATATTTAAAAGAAACTAGAATGACTATTGCCAAAAGACAAAAAAAATTAAGATGCTTGAATCAAGATTAAAGCAAGAAAGAAATTGAAAAGAGTGAAGAAGGCTTCATTCTTGATTTTATATGTACTATCCACATAAGAACTATGTGGTGACATTCAATAGAACCTTCAATATATGTTGACTTTATAAACCACATGTTTTAACTTTCAAGGCAAGTTTTCTATGTATGTGCTATATAATTAGCTTGTTTCATAAGCTATCCATGTATGTAATACGTGGCTAATTTATTGATCAAGTTTTTAATCTGAAAGTCAACTATAAATATGTATAAAATCAAAACCATGTCTATAAAGCTTTTAGAAAGCTTGTCTAGAAGTTATTATGAAATTAATCTATTTTTATTTATTTTTACCTACTTCTATCTAATCATATAGATAATTATTATAGTAAATATGTATGTCTATGATAGTATATTCATAACATGTGGAAACTTTTAAAGACTGATCCTAATATCTAGTATATATTGAAGTTGAGGCTGGGAAGATCTTCTATCTAGACAATACATTTATTTGAACTCTAATTCACTTCTTTTGGTGTTGATCTTATATTCATTTAATATAATTTAATTCATGCTAGCTTTCTTATTGAAACTCTTATATTTGACTTCTTGTTTGATATTTTATATAGTAAATTTATAATATTAAATAATATATAATACAAGACTTAATCAAAAACATTTCTTAGTAGATTGGTAATAATTTAAAACATGTAGTGACATAAAATACTTAAGATTTTTTTTATATGCATAAACCATCATTGAACCAAAAATACCTTCTAAATAATAGAGACATACTTGAAATGAATATACAATTAGAAAATATTTATATTTATGGATTATATATTTAATCTTGATTCCTAAAAAAAAAAATCATTAAAAATCTAAGAGATGAAAATTATTATTTGGTCCTATTTGTGACCACATTTTGAATATGTTTCTATGAAAAATAGTTTAGAAAAGTTAAATTTGTATAAAATTGGTGCTTCAATAAAAACTATCTTCAAAGCTTAAAATACTACTTGAATTTCTTAATTTTGAATAAGTTTATTTTTATAAGTTAAACATATAAGTAGAGTTGTAATTTTTAAATTGGTTTTGTAAAAAATCGATATTTATTGACAAATCTCAAGAAATATTAGATATATCTTATTATTCTTGAAGTTTTTATCCATGATAATCTAAATTTTCTTAGCTTCTATTATAAGGTTTCATTGCGAATGATATATCTTAAAAAATCAACTAGAGTTGTATGAAATATATACTTCTTTATCTTATTTTATATGATTATGCCTCTTATTTTTTATAGTATACAACAAATTTTATATTTATGCTCTTTTATATTCTTAAAATAAATCAAAATATTATTTATATTATAAACATTAAAATCACCTAAAAATTCTTTTAAAAAATCATTTATTAGATGTTGAAAAGCACCAAGAGTATTTTTAAGTTTAAAAGATATAATATCATATTTAAAATATCCATACTTGGTTCAAAACATAATCTTTTATACATCTTCTTCTTTTAAGCATATTAAGTTGTATGTTCTTTGTAGATCTATTTTTTTTCATAGATCTTTGTTTTATTCAAAAAAATCCAAAAGTTATAATATTAAAGATATAATGTACATATTCATGATGATAATCTTCTTAAGTCCTAAATAATCCACGCATATCCATGGTAATTTGTCATTTTTCTTTATAAATAAGATAAGATCTTACATTGGAGATTTTGAGTAGTGTACAAATTTCTTGGCTAAGTTCTTATAAATATATTCCTTGAGCAAAGCCAATTAATTTTGTAATAAACTATAGATTGGTCTAAACAACAATTAAGTTTTTTTTAGAAGATTAATTGAATAATCATAAAGATAATGCTTTGAAATGATATTTCAATTTTTTTCAGACATCTTGATAATCTCAATATTAGATTATAATACTATTTAAAGTCTTTTCATTATTAAAAATAGATGTATCATAGTTTAAAAAAACCAATCTTTATTTTTCATACCATTCATAATATTTATAAAAGTTTTTGCTTCTACAAGTAAGGATTTTATTGTATTAAGCTTTTAATCTACTTCTTAATTCATAAAAGTTTTGGTCATATTATGAAAAAATTAAGATTATAAAAAATCTAATTAATTTAATAGTTATATTTTTTTAACCATATAATATTAAAATTACTAGATTAAAGAAATATCTAATAATAAAAAATACTACTAAGTTATTTTAATAATTTTTTATTATTTTTATAAGAATAATTTTATGGATTTTATCTCAAAAAATATAAAATATTACCATTTTGACTTCTACAAGCAGAAGCTTATTTTTCTTTATTAAAATTATGTTATATCTTTTAACAAAGTCTTAATGTAAAAAAATAAGTTGAAACTCTTAAATTTAGAAAAGTAGAGACTTTTTATTTTTTAGGTTCTAAATAAATATTTATTATTAAATAAGAAGGTTTCAAGGATAGAATATGATCTTCATTAGATATTGCATAGGATTTTATTTTCATATAAAAATACAAACAAAATAATTTTATTAATTAATATTTTATTATCTTACTTCAACAAGAATTGAAGACATTTAAATAAGGCTATATAAAAGCCTCTATTTTTTATTTTTTTATTTTTCTTTAATATTTGATAGATTAAAGTTAGTTAGTAGTTTTTTCTTTAAGTTTTTGTTTTATTATAAAACTCTTCTACCACCTTAGAAAGATCATAAAATAATAAAAATATGATAGATTAGATAAATATTTTGATATGATCAAATCTAATATTCAGTTAAGTATAAGATTATATAAAAAAAAAACCTTGAAATTAGTTAAATAAATATTTGGGAGACAATAGTTTATGAATCATGGTTAAAATCAAATCCCAACTACTAAAATGGCTACTTAAGGTAAAATACAAGGACTTTCTAAGATTAGCATATTAGATTGATAAGCCAACTTTATGCTTATTCCAAAAACAAAGAATTTGTTTCATTTGGTTTTGAAATAATTATTCAAACGCTATTCAAAGTTAGGATTTATATTGGTAATCACTCTGGGAACTTGCATCTCTGAGATCGCGAATCAAAGAAAGAAAACTGGAGTGGTATAAACAACCGCATGAAATCTACTCTTCCACACTCATTCACATGCACATGATATCAAAGCCATTTTCATCATTCACTACAGCAGCTCCACGATTTGAATCGAACAAACAAGCGTGTTGTTCAACTGTGTACTGTATGATGTCTTCATGCAGAATTTCAGCTGCTAACATTTCTGGAGGTGTCGCTAGTGCAGTATGGAACACCTGCTGAGCTGTTGGATATTGCAAGCTCTAACTGCGGCATTGCTTTATCGTAAGCTGAAACTCCAGAGGGTTGTCCAACGGTCCCTTGAAAATCCAACCTGGTCTGCTGAAATACATCGAGAGCTCTACCGCACCCCGTACCTGTAGAAAGAAAACTGCACTGGCCTATACGCAATGTTAAACTAGGTTCTTTAGAGATGATGGAGTTGATGGCAGCTGCTAATGCAGCACTGAGTTTGGGGTTATTGGTGATTGCCTCGGTGGCAGCGCTAACTGAGCCAGTTAATGGATCCAATTCCTTCGCACCATCCTTTCCATCTATAAAAGATGCCATCTTGGCTGACAATTCTTTCTGTATTTGCAGCTGTCTTGCTTGGCTGGAACTGGAGCTCGATGAAATTGCTTGTGTCCTGGGTTTCATTGCCAATTGATCGTAGGCGCTTCTGGAGAAAGGTAGTGAATCTCGCGCAGGGGTACACCGATTTTGAGACTGAAATGGCATGGTGAGATCCAACATCTTGGTTTCGCCGCTTGATACAAAGTGGTTTTGCATGAAAGGGGTGTCTCCGGAGTCCTCCAGACGAAGGCTTAGCTGCGTGGCGGGATCCCGAGTGAGGTCTAGCGTGATGGTAGGCAAAGATGTAGAGGAACCGGAAGTGGAGGTTTCAACTGACGGGCCAATTCCCAGAGTATTGCCTCGGAGGTAAAGCTCTGATGTTCCAGCCATGCGCGCGACATCGCTGGTTGTGGAGCCAGAGAGAAGCATACTTGCGGCTGCGGAGGTGGTTGATGCCATGGACGCCGCAGCAGCAGGAATGGGGTGGTTGTGAGTACCTTCGTAAGTTGTAATTAGAATAGAAAGGTCGTCTGCACATCTCTGAACCTGTAAATAAGAGTTGATTTGATTAGACTTCAGCCACAATCGATTCAAGGATTGAACGATGTGTGAAAGCAACAACGTCAAATGGTTACGCAGCCCATTGTCGAAGCTACTGGGAGATTTGAGACACGTCTACTATAGCATGCAGAAGAACGACAGATTCCACTACCAAATTCCGCAGAATTTACGGCTTGTGAGAAATTTAACACCAAAATGTGCCAGAATTTTCCACTACATTGTGCACATTATCGTGTCAAGTATGTCATCCGAAGCATATGATTCGCAACCTGATGAAGTTTATATGAAGTTTATATTGATTTGATGCTTTTTGCGGAAGGCTGATCAAATTTCTAGTACCTGCTTACGGACGGGACATCCTCGAAGCAAGGTGCAGCGATAATAAGCCCGAGGACACGGATTCCCCTTCGCCATTTTCTGACCATACTTTCTCCAATGGCAGCCATCGCCCTTCTACATCACCAAAGATTAATGCCATAGAACAGTGTCAATTATAGCAAGCAAGACTATTGAGTGCTAGCCCATGCAAACCCGAGTTCTTGGTCACTATGGACACAGCTCTAGTGCTTTCTACTCAATGATGCTGCACTATAACAGGTAGCATCGTTTAGTGGAGGTATGATCAAGAAAAGAAGTAGGAACTTAATCGACACTGAGGCCTGAAGATAATCAACGATAACAATCATGTCCGCTGTTGTTTACACTACTTAAAAGACTGTAACACAATGTAGTGGCTCACCGTTTGGGAATCAGAGCGGGTGCGAACACAGACACGAGCCTTCCGAACTAGTGGGCTCTCCTCTGCGTCGAGTAAAGCCTTAGTGCTGTTTGCGACTTTCTGCACTCTACTAAATGGCGAGCTCACGAGTGATTGTTCCGCTTCATCCAGGCTAGAATAAGACCTTTTAGAGCTAACCGTGGGTTTGAATTCTTCTGAAGATAATGATGGCGATGTAATCCTTTGCTTCCGCCTTTGGGAAGAAGGATTTATCTCTTCACGTAGAGTGCAAATGCCAGTGTGCTCTATGCGAGCTTCTCTCCTTGCCTTGACCTGTTCACCATCTATGGTGGCGTAATTATCTTTCTGTAATGAAGCATGCAAGCCATCTCCACGTTCATCATGACCAAACTCGCAGCTGGAAGAGCAAGACAGTGTCATAGGGATGTTCATGACGTCGTCGTCCTGTACGAGTTCGAAATGTTGGAGAAAGTTTCTGACAGGACTGTAGATAACCTGCTAACAAAAATATCTGCGAAATACGCCCTGTGATCGACTTCAGAGCAGATGACAATTCCACTTTTCCGTTCTCCCAAGTTGCTATATCAAGTTCTGAGACTGCATACACGATCTTCAAAAGTCATTACAATGTTTTGGTTCTCTCATCTTGCAGAATGACGCCTGCGTTTCTAAGGTAATACGTGCCTGCACTTTATTGTAACTCTTTCCGAACCAGAGAGAGCTCGCTGTTCATTCTATCATGTTCCTCGCCTAAGCAGATCAATTCTGGAGAAGAGTGACACAGCAACGAATGTCAGGGAGCTCGAAATATATTCAGACATCAAGCTAAAACATCTCCAAGGATGGGCTTCTAATGTTAGTATTTGAAATGAAGTCTTTAGGGTGTACCTGGTCACGCAGTTCACGGGACTTTGGAAGGGGCTGACTGGTTGACTCTTTGGCAGCACCGTGGTTTGAGGAATTCCGTCAAGACCTCAACACCACGTCGAACCTGCACCCAATCCCTCTAGAACATAAATCACTTTGATCTCAATTCGACACCACAAGAACCAGTATCTAGTCAGATCGAAAACTCACGAATTACAAACCATGATATCTAACGGATGGGCCTGATTTCGTAAGAAAATACTGACTGTACGCTGATAGGGAATCCTGTCGTAGTTGGTCTAACAAATTTCGACTTCTTCTAGTATGAAACTCCGAGGTTAACGTGGTCTTCTGCTCAATGGCTCGACGGGGTCCTTCCACTGGTCGAAACTTTCCACTGCATTCCACTTTGGCAGTAGAATTTGAGAATCATCTGCTCCTCTAGGTGCGGGCTACTGCGACCCCTTCGTCCCTTCGACAGAAATGTGAGACTGGCCGCTGCAACTAAGGGTGGATCGTAACAGTCAAATCTTGCGAGCGCTACAGCTTCAATTTCAGTGGTATATTCAACTTGTAGGCTGCCGAGGGTCTTCTAAGCTGCATCTACAACAATAGTTGCTAGACTGACGCTTTGAAAAGTATATTCTAGCCATAGCAGTATTATAACTGTTCTCTTCTCTTGGATCCGTTCCACTACTTGTCAACGGCAAGCCCAGAGCCATCTACTCTGAACTTCACCCACCAAATCTCAACAAACTTACTCCCGACGTTACTAGAAACAACGACTCAGACGATTACGCATGTTAAACCTGAACGACATAAACTGAAGTTTCAGGTTTAGCTGAGAAGGGACGAGGTAGAAACTGACGACTGAAGTTGACCCTAGCTACAATTCTCACAAACGTTGCGGAGACTTGGTTACACTGGTCTTGTATTTGAGATTGAGTAACCCATTCAAAGAGAAGCACCTGTCGGATAAATTACCTTTCAAAACTGAAGAGAGTGTGTTGTCTCCTTGGCACTATTCACATCTGCAGATTTATCGACGTTCACCCGTATGCGCACAATCTTGACGGCTTGTTTTGCATTTCACTCTGCTTCATGCTGTATGTGCAAGATGACATCTGACAAGCTAATGGTGGGGCTGGTGGAGGTCTAGCTAACTCACACTACGTAAGTACCGAGAGATTCCACAAGAAGCTCCTGCATAATCTGGAAAGAGTTTGAAACCTGACACTTCTACATAGTCTGATTAGATTTGAGATGTGAGACCTGAAAGCGCTCCAGCTCGGGCTTGTGGGAGATTGGATTGGCTTGTAGGAGGTCACCGTCGGAGAAGCAACTCACGTGTGGTCTGCGCCCACCCTAAGGAAATCCTTTACGTCAATTACCAGTTACGCGTCAATGCGCGTTTTACCAAGATTAGGGCCTGTCTACCTGCCTGACCTGACTACTCCAGCGAGTCTTTCACCTTAACTTGTGCACCCAGATCTGAATAGACATATTTCCGACGCACGGCCTGATTTCTATAGAAGAAATCAAAATCATGTCATTTTTTCGGAACAAACTTAAGGGGCTTTGTAACCTTCGGCGAGTTCTCTGTATTGTGGTAGCAACTCGTGTTTGGAGATGGGAGGAAGGGCCTGCCAGCCCAAGGCTCAAGATGAGAGGAGAAAGAAAGACAACCTGAGCTCATCCAAGGATGATCAGTTCAGGTTTCTTCCGTGAGGACCTCTGTATCAGTTAGGAAAATGGAGTCAGAGAAGGCTATGTTAACGGTCCTGAGGGATTAAGCGGAGTCACGGATATCCAAGATGGTGATGACGCAATTTGTGATGACCACTGTTCAATGTAAGCTAGCTGCCACATGCGCCGTGAAGAAACAAAAGGATCAAAATACCCTGTTACAAAAGCCAATGGATTCTGTTTTCATAAAAAACAATGTTGTACCAAGCTTGAGCAAGATCGACTGTGTCTCGTCCCCCAAATGTAGAAAGTTGTAAATATTGGGTGAAGACATCCTAAAAGTGATCAAATTAGATGTGAATGAGACAACAGATGCGACAATCTGGTTTTGGGAAGTTCAATTTCTTCGTTGCGGATATGAACTCATCGCATGGGTCAGTTACGTAACAAAGGTTGGATTAGCATTGAACATGTTGCGACTCAGTAGCAGAGTCGAGCCGCCTTCACTGTCTAAAGTCCTTTTAAAATTTTACCCCAAATATAAGGCGCAATGAGACATTCGCGTCGGGAATCGTTACTTGCCGAGCAAGCCAACCAATAATGCCGGCGGGTACGCCCTGCTACCAGAATATGATGATTATCTTTCATGGAAATATATTATACTTTCAAATTGGGTGGTGGGGGCAACTCGAATGTAAAAACAAAATTTAGGAGGTCGAGTTCTCATGTCAACCCCCAGTTTGTCGTTGGAAGATGACACTTTTCACTCGGAGAACAGTCACAATTGTAGAGCACGAACAAGAAATTCACTGAAAGAACTCCAATGTATGTATGTAATTGTCACCACTCTTCTCAGCAGGCTGGTCCTACTTTACTGAGGTAAAGATCTGGTTCTGATTCATCCAATCTACATTGACTCGGTTGGGGGGGTATTCTCTCTCTTAGTCGGACAGTCCTTGCACAGCCGCAACATCCGCCTAGTTCTTCTGTCACGTCCGCGGGTCACAGTTCGGGCACCACACGAGCTATCAGATGCCATCGTCGCTACCTTCCCGTGACAAGTTGACTGAAGTTCTGAGCAGATCGCTTCACGACCATACATGCTAAGTCGCGCAACACCCATACAAGTAGTAGAATATTCGAAAAATCGCTCAAAAACATTCGGTCAAATGCTTCCGTTCGTCAGTCCACCAGAATGCACAGTAAACTGGCTGCATGCTGCGCTTTCATGACGTAATGCCACCCCAGTACTTAACCCCCCGTGGTAGGGAATAGAGCTAATTAGCCGCTTTGACTCCTTATTCGACGCACATGTTAGTAGCTAAAGTCAAAGACGCATGCAATGGAAAAAGCTATTCGCTTGCGACAACAGTCACGACACTCATCTTCCGCCGAGGATTTCAATTGACACGAAGTTTCCGATAAAAATAAGTGTTCCGAATATAGTAATTCTGAGAAATTGAGTCTGGTGACGGTCGCTGAGGTAAGAGATGCGTCATTCAGTGGGCCACGTTCCTGAAATATTCGTGGGCCCTCGCGCTTCGGATTTTGTTTGGTGGTGGGGTCCTGCGGAGAAGTGGGTCCGGTCTGGCTTGAATCCGAAGCCAGACGGCTTTACAGATGCCTCTCATGGCGGGCTGACTCATGCAACCTGGATTTGGTTGGACAACCTGACTGCCCGTCCCGCTTCTGCCATCTGCCCTCTCCCTCCATGTCATTTTACTGCGTCAGCAGCCCCCTCTGACATCACATCACCCGGCCCGCGCACAGCCCCACCCAGCCCGGCCCTTTTTTAGGCGGTGATCCCACATTCGTTTAACGCTAATCATCCATTCGTGTGGATGACTATCTGAATCAGTGTTCATTTGAATGGAGCGTTCAGATGGGTTCAGCAGTTTTTGGACATATCCGTTTTAATTTAGTGGGTTAGTATTGATGGTGATTACATTAATCCAACATTTGATACAAGGGTTTAATACAATGTGGTGTAGTTTGGTTAAAGAATGCTAATTAGAAAAATTATAGATCTATGGCTACCAGCATAGATTGAACTTGGAATCTGTTAGTTGACAAGACTCCCCTTTACCAAGCATAGATTCCCTTTAGCATATGCTTCCTATAACAAATATATAAATATATATGAGGTTGTTGGAGGTAATTTATAAGTGTAAAATATATCTGGAGGTACTATCAAGAAACTTGTAACGTATATCAGAAAAATATGCAATAGTTTTTTTTGTTTTTTGAAAAAATTAAATTAAATTAAATTAAATTAAATGGCTCTCATCCATGATGTTCACTCAAAAACAAATTAAAAACTTATGAGAACACAAACATTATTTTGAGTAGCCTTAGAACATAGAACAAAGTTTATTTCTCATTTAGTGAGCAATTTCTTTAAATAGTATAATTTTGCAACATTTTAACAGTACCAATTTATTGTTTCAAGTATAAGATTATTTTTTAAAAAAACAAAAACAACAAATAAAAATAAATAAATAAAATCTTACCATGAGGATCATAAAATTTGTTGACAAAACTGTTTTAGCATTTGCAAACTTTGATATTCATAAACATTATTTTTATCATGACTCTAAAAATAATATCATAAAATTAAATTAAAACAATATATGTAATATCATATACAAATACTTGTATACCAATATTGGAAAAAAATTAAGAATCTTATGATTATAAAATGATAATTTTAGTCTTATTGATGATTTAAAAGGCAGATTGGTCATAATCTATACAAAGCATAAGATATATGTTCTTTAAAAAAATAATTTTTTTCTTAGTATAAGAAATTTTAAGAATAGAACTAAGACTTGAAAAAGAAGTTCTAAAAAGTAAAAATAGTCTTATGTGTTAAATAAAAAAACTCATAAGAAATTCATGATGTATTGATAACTATTTTTTATGATGTTTTAACTTGAGAAAATTAGGTTTCATTATGAAATAATCTCTAGTTTCTTCAAATATCTATCTATCTATCTATCTATATATATATATATTTTAGGGAATGTTAAATAGACTCATGCTTTTACTAAATAGATCCACCCTTGATGAAAAATATGGTAATCGTGATAATTGTGGTTGGTTTTTATTGGTTGTAGATCCAATGGTGGAGAAATGAATCTAGAGATTTTTTTTTTTTTTTTTTTTTTTTTTTTTTCATGATAGTTAGGATGGGTGGATCAATTTAGTAAAAACTTGGGACTATTTAACATTTTCATATATCTATATATAAGATTTTTTTTTTGGCTTACATTAATTAATTGTTGAATTAATAATACACCTATATGTATTTATAATATTTAAAGTAAACTCTATACTATCAAAAATAAATACCAATTTTTCATATAGTTTTTTGGTTTATTAATTTACTTTATTAAACTAAGACCCCTTCAAAAGCATTGATGAAGAAATTCTTCAAGTGGACATTGCACTAGAACTAACCTAACAATCCAATTTTGGTGGTGTTCATGACATCATTGTAAGCGTAGCCCTGAAAGATCTCATAGCTTAAAATAGAACATCAACTCTCTTGAAATGCTCCCCAATCTCGCAAGACAAGCAAAGGTGGTGGAGTTGCCTCGAAAGGGCTTCAAAATTTCAATTGAGGAGAGCAAAACAGTTGATTTTTGCAAATCTAAGCAACGAATTTCTCTCCAAACACATAGGCAAGGAGGTTGAGGCATGGAGAGCACTATTGCATTTGACATAATACTCATTTACTAGCAAAGTCGTACACTTGCACAAGTAACTAAGTAAATGTTAATTTCATGTTTTTCACTTCTTGGTTTTGTTTTGTTTATATATATGTCTTGTGACCTTTGATTAGATTCACAATATTTTGTATACTAGAAGTATACCCAATAGCAGATTTTATAACATCTACGAGGTCATCACCTAGGAAATCTGCCTTCAAGGCAGTCAGTGCCACGCTCTAATCTTTTGGAACCAAAGTTTGATCGAATCTATCGCTGAATACCCTTGTGCTAATTCAAGAAGAAGTGGAAGCAATGGCCAAGGTAGTCTCGATTAGTTTTGCCTCTACCAGACATCCTTCTGGAACGAAACTACAAGATTGGTTGCATGTTAATTTAGTAGAAACTCAAGTAGAAGTTTTGCAAGTTTGTATTCTCCAACGTGACTATTTTGTCTTCACCTTTAACAGTGAGCAGGGAGTAAGAAAAACCCTGCAACTGAGCCCTCTACAATTTGGTACACACACAATCTACCTCCATCCATGGGCACCCCAGTTTGAAACGAACTCATCCAAAGGGATCCGGATCCTACTATGGATCCGCTTCCCGAAACTAGATGACATGTATTATAGAGCCCTCCCAATTATCTGCGTAGAAATTGGAGAGGTAGTGTGGACAAGGAAGCAAGAAGATTACTTGCAAAAATCCTTCACTCCTTGTATCTGTATTCTTGTCATGGATGTAATGAAAATACCCTCATTAATAATCCTTTTGATACTAAGAAGCGATGAAGAGATAGAGATTGTAGTGGAATACGAAGGTATTCCACGACAATGTAGTAACTGTTTGGAGTTGAAACACGATTCAACAAATTGTCTACAAAAGAAGAAGAAGACGCTGAAAGACAAACAAAAAGCTTCTCGCAAGAAGTCCCTAAACCAACTACAAGACCAGAAGAGCATAAAACCACAGTAGAAAAATACAATAGACCGTCCACACCCGAAACATAGGAGGACAATACTTGAGTCACCACTCCAGACCTTGAAGCAGTGGTAGTAGATTTTATGGACTCCATGCAAAACATTGATGAGACTACTCCTCATGCGAAAACTAATTAAATGTTCATCATGCAAAATCAAAAAAAATAATTAAACCATCCATGATACACCCAGGGACAATTCGTTGCTAAAAAGAGACACATAGCATCAAATAGGCTCAAGATGCAAATATGGAATACTTTCAATTTTCAGAATACACCCAAAGAGGGCAAAAAACAACTACAGATGTGACCTATAATAGACACAATGAGAACTGATACACAACAAAGGTATCTGAGTACGCTAGTTGGAGATTTACAGGGCACACGCATCTCCCTTCCTACTAACACTACATCCAAGCTTGAAGATCTCCGCCAACTTTGCTGGAAATAGTTACAAGCAGATCTATTGCGGAACCTCAGACTGGGGAATAAGAGTCTCACCTAAAGAACCGGAGACACAATCACGTGGATGGACCAATGGCAAAAACTAGAAGATGGTAGCTACATCTGCCACATACTAGCACTCATGGAGACTTCGCACATAGACAACACATTCTACTTCGATGAGGCTCAACAACAATGGACGGAGAGTGATGATCTCGGGGTATGGATTCATCCGGACTGAGAACTAGCTCCAAAAGAGAGGTTTCCACTCAAGATGCTTACACAATTAATATCAATCCCACATAGAGTATGATCGGCACAGCCCTATGTGAGCAAGGCATCATCATGAGTGGAGCACACAACTGCCTCAAACTCGACGCAGATTCCTCCAATCGACCTTCAATGTAGAAGAGAGCTGCTAATAGGTGACAGCACTGATCACCTTTGACATGGGTCGAGGATCACTTGGCACCATGCATATCCACAACAAATGCACACAAGGCAGAGCAGGTCTTCTTCTCCTGCCCTCAATACCAACAGCACAATGTAACCAATCCACGATGTGGATTAATCCGCACATCTCTCCAGCAAGCAACCGATTGTATCTTGATTAGGAGAGACGAGAATAGAGTCCTCTTGCCGAAACTACAGATTTTAACAACCCTGCTGGACAAGCACAAAAAACCTTAAAGCGGTAATATTTGTAGAGATCGCAACTTGGCTTGCAGATAAAGATAATACCAGCCACCTAACTCTCAAAATCTCCCACCTCCACATTTGGCAACAGCTAAATAGTTGAGACATCAAAACTGTGGTTATTCAGATGTTACAACACCTCACGAGAGCAATCATGAGGTGGCACCTCGGCCTCCATTTCTACACCCCACATCTCCTATACAGGCATAACTCCTTGGAACCACCTTGGTCGGTGGTGGATGCAACACCACCCACTCAATAAGATGACAGACATCTTATTACACATCATGACCTAGAACATCTGGGGCATGTCTAGCTGCATAACTGGAAAGGTGAAGAGATGACGGTTTCAAACTCAAGCTCTATGGAACGGGGCAGAATTGAATGAGGCTACAAGTCATTATCGACTCAGCATGGCCATCCTCATGTCTACATCGATGCACCACTGTGTACTCAATTCCAAAATACTAGTCCCAGACGTGCATAGTGGATACTTAGTAAGTTGGAAAAGTAAACACTAAGATTCTTGCATGTGTATGCCTCCAATCGAGGCCACAAATGGTCAGTTTTGTAGGACAAAATCAACGCCAACCTATCCACACAAAATCTTGGATAGTGGCCAGAGACATGAAAATAGTAGAAAGGAAAGTTGATAGGAGCGGCAACCCTCTAAAGTAACTAAGCGCCGATGCACAACAGGCATGGGATACACTAGTGTTTAGACTCGGATTAGAGCACACATAGATTAGTGATGACTTTAAATGCAGGGGTGGACTAAAATTCTCTTTGTCAAATAAATGAGACAACAGCCTTCTAGCCCGATTAGACAGATTCTACACCGGCAAGTGCGGTGGGGAGGGAGGAGGCAAGATAAAAATCTTGAAAGGATATAGCACTCTCTCTGATCACCTCCCTGTCCATTTAGAAATTAGAAAATAGAATTGGAACACTGAAACAGATCGACAATTCAGATTCAATACAAGCTATCTAAAAAATCCAAACCTTTGTACACAACTAGAAAATATCTGGGTAGCAGAATCACGGCCCTCCAATGGCACAGAAGGTTGGCAAATCTGGCTAGCGCAAATCCTAAATAGAATCAAAACATTTTGCCGAAACGAAGGGATCCGTAGGGCCCAGGACCTCAAAATTTGAGATCGACAACTTTGAGCTGCCTTGGTAGTAGTTGAGCGCCTATATCAGGCCCACCCAGAGGACAACCTTGGTGCCTTGTATAATTCAGCAGCTTCAGGACTTACTGAATAAGAGATCCGCCACATAGAATGGAATTCAATACGAGCTTCTGCATGGTGAGCACAAATAGATTGATGTATGTAGAAGGAATTTTCTTTTACTGTCAAGGAGGTGACGTCCGCACCACCTATCCAATTCTTATGAGACTCCAAAGGAATCAAATACAACACCTATATCAAAATGGCTGCTTATGCGACAAGGTACTATCAAGCATTATTTACCTTGCAAGGCACTACTCTAGATACCTCTGAGGTCTGTCAGGTATGTTGAAGCAAGACACCGCAAAGAGTTACACCTAAGTTAAATACCACACTCTGCCAGCCAATCTAGAAGGACGAGATACACAAGGCAATACAAGTCCTCCCTTCCAGAAAAGCACCTGACTTGGAGGGCATTTTTACCTTCCTCTCTGGGAAACAGTCGGGGAGGATCTACTCGTGACCTTCAATGAAGTCCGCATCTTAAACATCCTTCACAAGGAGCTTAATACCGGACTGCTCTGCCTTCTCCTGAAGGGCGGATGCAAAACACAATTCAAGAATTGAAGGCCAATTACTCTGTTGGCACGATCTACAAGCTCCTCGCCAAGCTCATGGCCAACCAGCTCCAACCAAGTCTTGACACACTCATATGGCCAAATCAGACTGGCTTTTTGAAAAGCCGCAACATAATTAATAATATATTCCTGGCATTCAAAGCAATGGATTGGGCAGAAGAATCAAAATAGCCTCTAGTAATTTTTTTTTTTCTTGATTTTAAGAAGGCGTATGATCGGGTGGAGTGGAGCTTTGTGGAAGAAACAATGGCGGCCTTGGGCTTTGACGCACAATGGATAGCTTAGGTACAAGCCTTGTATGCTGATTCTTGGTGCTCGATGGGCCTCAATGGCCTCACCAGTATACCATTCATATTATCCTGCTCTATTCGACAAGACTGTCCACTAGCCCCTTTTCTTTACCTCTTCACAGCCGACTGTTTAGGATATCTATTAGAGAGCAAATGAAGGGTAGAAGGCCTCACACTTCCTGACGGCCACTCTCACGTAGCTGACCAAGAATACGTTGATGACACTGCACTGTATTTTTAACAGGCAACCAGGAGAATCTAGAATGGGCAAAATCCACCCTTAATGTATTTGCTCAAGCCGTGGGTTCAAAAATAAATTGGAATAAATCCAAAGCGATCTTGGCATCACCTACTCCAATACCCTTCACGTGGGGCACTGCAGAGGAGCTGTATTGGCTGTCATCGGGAGAAACCACTAAGGTACTGTGCCTCATGGTTGGATATGAGACCACCACAAAGGAACTGGGCTTCATGGTTGGATATGAGACCACCACAAAGGAACTGGGCTTCATGGTCGGATACAAGACCATCCCAGAGAAGTGCTTTCAAATTGTCATTTAGTCCATCCGTCGAAAACTTGCCTATTAGAGCACCACTAAGCTCTCTCTAGCTAGCCGCATATTAATTGATAATCAAGTTTTGCTGGCCAAAATTTGGCATATAGCATCCTGCTGGTTCTCCGCTGGCTACATATCAAAATCAAATCTTTGATACGCAACTACATCTGGTCGGGAGAGGACAACAAAAAAAACTGTCGCCCCAAAGTTGCATGGAATTCCCTCATCCAACCCCGACGGGATGACAGTATACAGCTCCTCAACCCAGAGATGCAAGCCCAAGCTTTTTTAGCAAAACTCTTCATCCGCGACCTTATTGGATGTACATCCATCAACATTCTACATCCACAATCATCCAGGGTTCTTCAAAGGATCTATTTCAAGAAAGACACTAAATTGTTTTGAGTTTATTCATGAAATTCTAATTAGAGAATCTTCAGGTTTAGTCACTAGAGAATTGACTTTGAACAAAATGTTGATTTCATTGTATATAAGTAAAGATTAGCAATCTATTGTATAAAGTATGTGCGCATGAATTTGTTGAATTCAAATAGGTTATGGAACCCTTATCACAAGTACATTGCTTGATGACGTAATTTTTTTGATTAAAAAAATATATGTATTCTTTTTTATCTTGCCTTCTCTTTGTTTTTCCAATCCTCAAAATTTTTTATATCTTAATTTGGTTGCTATCTCAAGCAACATTGTCGTATTACGTGTGTTCTTGCTTGAAAATACACCAAGCACCTAGTTGTGGAAGTTAAGTAGAAATACAACAACAATCTTACTAAGTCTAATAGAGTCTTAAATAAATTTTAATTAATCCTTAATAACCCTAATCAAACTTTGACCAATCTAAAATAAATTTAAAAGATGTTACAAAAGAAGTTATAAATTAATCTCAAAGAAAAATAATAATGAAATCTTAAAGAAATATTAAAATAAATCTTTAAATAAATAAAAATAGTCTTAAAGAATTATTATAAATAGAAAATTTTAAATAAATAATTAAGGATCCTAAAGAAATATTAAAAATATAATTTTTAAATAAATCCTAAATAAATTTTAACCAAATCTTAATTTAATTCTAATTAAAATTCTAATGAATCTTAACTATACCTAAGGTCAAATCTTAATTGAAATCCTAATTGAAATCCTAAATAAAATCCTAATAAATCTCAAGAAAATCCTAGATCAAACTTTAATGAAATCCTAATGAAATCCTAAATCCTAGACCAATCCTAATAAAATCCTAGAAAAATCTTAATCAAATCTTTATCACATCCTAATTAAATCCTAATCAAATTTTAATCAAATCCTAGACAAATCCTAAATCCTTACCAAATTCTAAATAATTCCAATTGAATCCTAAATCCTAAATCAATCCTAATCAATTCTTAATCAAATCCTAAATCTTAAATAAATTCTTAATAAATCTTATTGTAGTTTTAAAATTCAATAACTAATCATTGATCCATTGATTTTGACTCAAAATTTTTAGACCTTGCAAAAACTAAGTTAGCAACAAGCACAAATAAATTGAAATAGATTGTACACATTAAATAGACAAAAATTCCAAAACTTGGCTCATGGATCGGCTAGCCTTCTTCTCAAACCTTGATGTTGATATTCTTAAGCTAAGATCTCTTAATTTCATTATTCAATTTATTTCAAATTTTTTACAATTTTTGAAAATCAAGCTAGCAACCTTTGAGCAAAATTGTATTTCAATCCGATTAGCGGATTGACATATATCTTAAAAATCCTCATTGGTCCTTTAAATCCCAATTTCTAAGACCATAATCCACAAAAATCCTCGTATGCTTCAATCTAACCACTTAATTGATCTCAAATTTTTCACACACATTCACAATAAGCACAACAACAAGCTTTCTAATTTTTCTTTATAAACACACTATGAAACTCAAAAAATCTTATAATTTGTAAACTTGTTTTTATTTCTCAAAATCCAAATCCACCAAGTACATCACTAAATTTGAAAATCTATCAAAATCTCAATATTAATCCAAATGATATGAAACCAATACTCAAAAATCTCTCTTCTAGTTTGCTTTCAAATCCCACTCTTTGATTTACAAAAGAATCCTAGAGTTGCTATAGATGCATGGTTTTGTACCTTGGGATTTGATTTTGACCTAGGTTCACAACTGGTCCTCTTTGTATATCAATTTTTAGTAATTTGAGATAATTTTTATATAAACCTAATTTTAATTTTTTCCTAAAGATGTCTATATTATTTACTTATCTCATTTACTTTGATTTGAGGCTTTTATGCCCATAAAAAATAAATAGGAATTCCTTTTACAAAAGGCAACATTAAAACTAAACTTTTTACTACCTTTCTATAATTTATCCTTGTTTTTTCTACTACATCTTTCTACTAGGCTCGTTTGTAATAACATTCATATTTTTATTTTTCACCATATAATTGTGTCACCAAAAAACAGCATCTTAGTTATTCTTCTTATGATACTTCCTTACTTCATATTCTCATCATTTCAAAATCAAGCAATTCATCACTATATGCACCAAGAATCTGACATGTATTCTTTCAACTAGCTGATAACATAAGACTATGGGTCCGTGGTCGAGGAAACATACAAATTAACTGTCTCATTGACGGACAGCTACAACCAGACATTATTTGAAACGTTCTCTACGTACCAAGACTCAAACGTAACCTCTTCTCAGTCTGTTTAGTCTCAGAATGCAATTTATCTTGTATCACTTTCCCAGGACAAAGTGAATTTTGTACGCCACCTGGAAAGAAAGTCCTCGAAGGTGTCCGCTTGCAGAAATTATACCACCTCTTAATCCATGTAATTTCACTGGACCCTATATTTCATGCTGCTCGCATTCAAACTCCAGAATCAAAGATTTCTTCATCATACTTTTTACTGCCTTTACTTCTACTTTGACAACAGAATCTGAACTCCAACTTTGGCATGAGTGTATGGGCCATGTAAACTTCCCAACCATGCAACGTATGAGCCGACACTGCAGTTTTTGAGATTTCCATTTGGAGTTTAAATCATAGCTTCTGCGTCCTTGTAAAGGTTGCATGAAAGGCAAGCGAAAAAAAGTCAACTTATCATCAAGATCCTAATGAACAACAGAGCACTCTTCCAGGACAGCTCCTTCATGGTGACGTCTCAAGCAAGAAGTCTCAAACTTCCTCACTAAATGGTTTGTTATTTTACATTTTATACAAAGATGATGCTACTACGTACCGTTTTGTTCATTTTTCTTAGCACAAATCGGAAGCGTTTGATTTCTTCAAACGTGTTGTCAATATTGTTAAACGTGACACTAGTTACGCACAGCCCGGGGCAATGAATTTTGTAACATAGTATACGACAAATATCTCAACGACAATCACATCATGCGACAAACGAGTACCTCATATATACCTCAGCAAAATGGATACATTGAACGTGAAAATCGAACAGCCTTTGAGTTGGCCCAATTTTCATTACAAGCTAGAAACCTTTGTCCAAAGCTATGGGCTATAGCAGTCAACACATCTGTGTATCTTCTCAATTGAACAACAAATTGATAGTTAGGTGACATTACCCTGCATGAAGCATGGTTCAAGATGAAGCCCTCCGTTCAACATTGTCGCATTTTTGGGTCACTCTCTTGGGTTTATATAAATGCTTTTCTTCGCACCAAGATGGACCCCAAGAGTAAGAGGATGTTTTTCGTAGGCTACTCCAATACAAGCAAAGTCTATCGGTTCTAGAATCCACTGACATGTAAAGTAGCCGAAAGTTCAAATTACACCATTGATGAAGCTTCTGGCAAGTTCCCAAACGACATTCCACCCGATCCAAGTCAAGACCAATTTACATATTTCCCAATACAAAATCATTCTGGCCAACCACTTGCACCTTATCAAATTGCATTCCCTGTCATCACACCAACGACCACTAGACACTCTGGTCCACAAGTAAGTGCACGATCAACTAAATCAGTGGGAGGTCTTCTTTCAAATTTGCCTTCCAACTCGATCTATCACCTTAGATCTTCTCCGATGACTGCAGCAAATTCTGCAGATATCAACACACTGCAAATCACAATTCAGTCAGTGGGAGCTGAACGGAATCCATAGAATACCTTACGAGATAATAGCCTTTTATAATCACCACGTCAAGATCAACCAGTTCTAACTACAACGGTGGGAGCTATGACCTCTTCACCAAACTATTCTGCAAATCCAACGCTATCTTCATCCCCTCCTCGACAGTTCCCTCTGCACGAAAACATACTCAATGCATCTACCTATGATTCTGATGAACGACAACAACCAAAAACCAAATCGATTCATGACCTTCTGCTTACCACCTCGACTATTCTTTCATCACCCTATAATTCCACAACATCCGCCAATTCAGCATGTTCTTTTCATCTTCTTACTCAACTATCTCCTCAGCTATCAGAATCTACATCTTTCGATGCTACTTTTGGTGCTTATTGACATGAACCCCAGACATATGCAGAAGCCATCTCATCTTCAGGTTCAACCTTCTGGAAAGAAGCCATGGATTGAGAGTACAACTCGCTAATAGAAAACCAAACGTGGGATTTGTTACCGAAACCATCTCATAAAAATCTCATCTGAAATAAGTGGGTGTATAAAATCAAGTACAAAACAAATGGCAAAATCGACAAATACAAGGCACGCCTAGTCGCAAAAGGATTCACACAGAAGCCGGGAATCGACTTCACTGAAACATGCTCACCTGTAATCTGGTACGATTCTATTTGAGCAATTTTTGCTATTGCTGCGGCGAAGGGTATGTATCTTAAATTATTTGATATAGGTACTGCGTTTCTCAATGGAAAATTAAACGAGAAAATCTATATGTGCAAACCCCAAGGGTATGTCGACCTTCGTCATACTACTTAATGCTGCCGCTTAAACAAAAGTCTTTATGGTCTACGGCAGTCTACACGCCAATGAAACATCCGCCTGTTGACCTTTCTAAAACAATTCAAATTAATCAACAGTGAGGCAGATTCATGCATTTACTGCAACCATGGTGCTCTTCATACCATCCTAGACATATATGTCGATGATGGAATCATTGTCTCTCTTCATCCTAATTATATCGACGAGATCTTGAACTATTTGAAAACAAGCTTTAAAGTCTCTACTGGACCAGTTGATTACTTCGTAGGTTTCGAAGTTCGAAGGTGCCCTACAACAGGCTCAATCTTTCTCTATCAGCAAAGGTACATTTTTGATATTCTCACACGTTTTGGCTTACAAGATGCTCACAAATTCTCTACACTCGCAGACACTCATGTAAAACTCAGCAAACAAATCGATCCAACAAATACAGAAATCAATGTTCCTTACCGTCAAGCGGTTGGCTATCTCATATAAGCTATGATAATTACAAGACCAGATATCGGATATGTTGTTAACAAGGTTTCTTTGTATCAAGAAAACCCTCGCCAGAGTTACTAGATAGCTGTTAAGCAGATTCTGGGTTACCTAAAACACATTGATATCAAGTACTTTGCTATTCAAGAACATTAGAACAATAACAAAATGGATTGCCAATACATCCACACTAACGAGCAGCTCGCTAAGCCCTTGCTACGTGATCATTTCGAAAATCTTCGAACTTCTCTCGGACTCCAACCATTCCACGGGAATGAGTTGGAGAATAATGTGTGGCATTCTTCGTTGAATGTTAATGGATGTACATCCATCAACATTCTACATCCACAATCATCCAGGTTACTCAAAGGATCTATTTCAAGAAAGACACTGGACTGTTTCGAGTAGGTCATGAAAGTCTAATTATAGAGTGTTCAGATTTAGTCACTAGAGAATTGACTTGAAAGTAATGTTGATTTTATTGTGTATAAGTAAAGATTAGCAATCTATTTTGTAAAATATGTGTGCATGAATTTATTGAATTCCAATAGGCCTGGTGCCAGGCAATGCACCGTGGAGATTATTAATCTAATATCGATTAAACTCGATCAGTCCCAAACGGGGCGGAGATTGGCTTGCGCACATATATTTTTTCCTCTATGCCAATTCAATTTGCGGAAGAGGATCCCCTTTGCGGCAGACGGTCTGGAAAGCATGGACACAAATCCGTCATGCATTACTCTTTCAGAACCCCACTAACGCGGTCAGCACAGGATGTCAGATTATTTTTGGAATGGCGGAATTCTAGATCCCTTGGGCGAGGTTCTAGGAAACAACTCATAGTCATTTGGGTGTTGTTGGATGAGGAAAGGCCTCATCGGTCTCAACGACATATGGAATTGCGGACGAAATCAGCGAAATTGTGGGCACCCGAGGCACGATGCAACGTCAAATCGACGTCCTCCGCGCCGTACCTAGCCAATGGTGCATAATGCAATGTCTTGCCTTGAAAAACTTTGACTGGGTGGCCACGCTTGTGGAGACCGTCGACATTGACCTGCTCTTCCATCTCCAAGACCCAGAAACTGGTATCCAATTCGAACAAATGAGTCCAGGTTTTTACTGCTTTAGCCCCGCACCCCCGATCCAACTTCTTGAACTGGACCTCAGGCGCATCCGAGTAGTAACGTCCAGTGGGAACCTACGTACCACAACGATTGACCCAGACGCACCTTGTGAGGGTGCAGATTGGGCACTAGGAACAGTTCGCTCCCTTAAGTTTGACCCGCAAGAATGGAAGTGGAAGGAAATGTAATCACTCCCGGAAACAGCCTTCTGCAACTATTCCACAAAGAGGGGGTACCGCATACAGCTCCTGACTAAGTCAGTAGGGACACAACTCCAGGCCAAACAGAAATCGCTGGGACTAATCGAGGTAGAAACGCGCTCCTCACTAAAACAAATCTGGGACAGTCAATAGCCAGCCAAGTTACATTACTTCCTCTGGTAAGTCAACTCAGGCGGGCTTCCAACAGGAAGCTGGAGTGCGGTCATGGGCCACCCTAGTGAATGCAAATGCTGCAACCGCGGCGTACCGGAAACATTGTCTCCGCAACTGCTCCTCCGCCCGACGTACCTGGCGATACTTGGAGCCCATCTGGAGAGCTCTATCTCGACCATCAACATTGTCTTGGAAAGGAACGCTCTCAGGGGTACCTCCCGGCTCTCGCACAGATGCAACATACACCCCAGCAGCCTCATTTCACAACCCAGCGGAAGACATCCTCCGCGGCTCGATCCTTTGGCAGACTTGACGCAACGCACAATTCAATAACACGCCCTTCAACATTATCCGCACTAGCCACTTAGCATGGGTAGACACAATACAAGCTGGGATGGCTCGACGAAACCACATTCTTAGTTATTTCAGTAAATGTAGCCCAGAGTAAAGGAGTACTGTAGCAACCGAATTTACCACCACATGGTGCAAAAACAGTCTTTTGCACTCGCCGTTTCTACTCCCCTCACTGGAGAGTGTCACCCAGTTCTTATCTCACCGAACACAACCCATAGGTTCTTGGCTTGTACTTTTCTTTACATACATGAGTTGTTCGCCGATACTTCAAAATAAAACAAAAACATAAACAAAAAATAAATATTTATATATATATATATATATATATATATATCTCACAGGACAGGCTTCATCTATAGGGTCGGGTTTGTTATCTACTGATATCTGTGGGCTACTAAACTTGACACAGGCCGGGGTGGTAGAGTGCCATTACCACGTGGCCTACTGAAGCATACCTAATGACTAGGGGCGGGGAATATTTCCTACAGTGGGAGCAGCCGGAAGTTATCAGGAAAGCACTTTCGATGCTTCGACGATGGAACGCAGCAGATAGTAACTGAGCAAGCAAGAGAGAGTAGGATGTGAGTCAGTCAATTGTGATTCATGCCAACATGGAAGATTTCGTAGTCTTCCCACCCTTGAAGTAAAATATTACAACACCTTTGACTCAATTTCACAGGTTTGTTGTTCTAATAACTTTCTGGGCGGTTTACGGTGCAGCGTGCCTGAGATTTATGGCAAACTGTGACTTGGAAAAATCATTAGATTCTTGCTTGTGACAGCAGATGTTCACTGTCAATGGAGTAGTATATTTTCAGGTGTCAGTGAAACGGGCGTTAGCGGTATTATGTTTTTGTGTGCAACGAATTGGAGAGCGGAAAATATAATTAATCTCATTTCTCAGATAAATTTGGAAGATAATTATTTCTTGCAAAGAGTATTCATAGAATGACATATGGCAAGCGTCGAGGAACACCAAAACAAACTCTTGACACCGTGCCGCTTTGATATTGTTACTTGAGGGTATAACATAGAGACCTCAAGTACATGTAAGAGAAAAAGCTGTGCACTCGTGTGCATAAATAAACAGAGTTCTGAGGCATTATCTGTAAGTATTGACCGTAAATAGATGCACGGATACTTATCTGTGATAGCCCTTTGTAATAATACTTGAATATTGGTGAGTCTAAAAGGACTTAACAGTCCGCACACGAGTGTTGAAACCCAAAATTGCTGAATGATTCAACATCTCTAGTTACGAATTAACGCTAGAGCTATGTGGCACGGCATTTCGCCCTGGATAATAAAAACAGAAAAACTCAAAGCTACCACACTCTAATATCTTCAACTAGGCGACGAGATATTAATGGACTTACCTGAGGGTGAGTCTAATGGCATTGGATGTCTAATGGCATTGGAGGTCTAAGAAATCACACACCCGGTCTACAACCATCGAAGTACATTATGGATACAGCAGGACTCCGATGGTTGGACAGGGAGTGTACTTCATACACTGTCATATCGAAGCAGCAGTGAGGAAGAAACCGGCTGCTGAGTTTGTTCCTGCTGGAACCACGCGTATGCAGGGAACTGCGTCATCCGATAATATGGTTCCTTCAAATCCAATTCTACTGTAGATGTTTGTGTCCCTCCAACACCGTTTAGATCTGGTGTCATTGAGGAGGCTGCACAGGTCCGAAATTGTAAATTTAAAAGTAACCACCACAGAGGCGTTTAAGTGGTGAAGGAAACGAGGGCTCAACAACAGGAAAGAGAAAACCCTGCAAGTACATACCCAGCCTACCTGACAAGGTCAAGTGAACTGTATAGCTTTGAGAACTATGGGCGATCATGTGAAGGCGACCAGTAACAGGCTGACCAGCCAATACACAAAGTGGTTGTGAAATTAAGCATCGGATCTGATACCAATGCGTGGTGGGAGACCCAGGAGACGTCGTCAACCACCTCGGAACCGCACTGTAAACGGATCAGAGGATTAGCTCATACCCGTAACAGTAGTGAGACTCGTAGCGAAATTAACTGGAAAAATTATATACTTACAGGCTATTGATTTAAGCTGAATGAAACCACTTTCAAGCTTCGTTGATATAAATTGACATAGGACTCGTCTGATTATTACACCCAGAGATAATGAGAAGACCAATATTCTAAAAGTAGTACCTGCCATCAAATAATACATCAAACCAACAGGCCAAACCGTGAACACCAGCGGAGACTGACGACTTGAACTGCAAAGGAACATCAATCTCAAAGAAATCCTCCTCCTATCACAAACCAAACCAAGTGTTAGCAGGATATGTAACCAATCGACGCAGCAGCTACTCACAATTGAAACACTGGTGGAAACACAAATTCGCAGAAGTGTGTTAGTAGTGCAAATTTCAATCAATTAGAACTAGAGGGCATTAAGGATTGGTTCGCTGATGGCAACAATATTCAATAGACGTCCCTCAATAGGATACCCAAATTTTGATAAGTATAATAATGCAATGAACTCACAGTAAGCGTACGCTACAACAAGGCCGATTGACGCAAGAATGGGAGTGGGAGCAAGTAGATACCTTAGCAGTTACAAAGTCAATGTCGTGGATGACAGGTTGAGCAATCAGTAGCCTTGGATCAAATGCATCTACCACAGGCTGCAAGAACATGAAATCTTAGAATGCGTGCTGGAAAGCTTCTCATCGGAAAAAACTACATTCCTGATCTAAAAGTAGCCAGGCCTTGAAATGTTCCTGGATCAAAGCAGAAAAAATATAGAGATAGTGAGAAACCTGACGGCATAACGCTCGTGCAGGCTCTAATAAAGAAACATAAAGGAAGTGTATGTGCACTACATGGTTGCTGAGGATAAGCGCACCTGCGAAAAATATCCTTGAAAGGCTTTGTCCCGCAAAGCGGTGAGATCCACCCCATAATAGTTTTTCTGCTGCCAAAACAAAGCCTGCGATTGACAAAAACTCGATCTGCTTTTAAAGAATCCCTTGCCGAATTTAAGAGAGGTTTCGATGGCACGAAAATCTTCAATACGAAAATCGGGGTGCAGGACATTCGATTTTCTCAATCCACCTACATTAGCTTACTCATCGTGGAGCTTTCATAATGTTTAATTAATTACACACACAATCTCTATTTCATATTCAATTCTGATCCTTCGGAGAAACTATCCCATGCTCGCCTGATTCATTGAAAGTCTTTGCAATGACTAATTACTTGTCCCACAACTCATAGGAAGGCAAAAAACTATGCACCACTTCAGGAACTCAAGGTCTAAAATTCAGAGTAAATACCTTATTAGCAATTTCACCATAGAGAAGTTCATCTCTGAAAGGGGCCATATGTAACCTACAAGAAACCCAAAGGAGCGTCATCAGAAGAAACAAAGTTAACACAACCTATTTAACAAACCTTTTAGGTCCAACACTAAGAAGAACACATTTAAATGATAAAAATGTAAGGTTCGTAGGAACAGTACATACCTTCCTCTGGAAGGAAACATTTTGCCATTTGGCACTAAGAATCGATCACGAGCAATAATATATGATTCCAGCATCCGTTCGTTCACTAATAACGTACCTACACAACACACCCAAAACCTCTGTCACCACAAATCATACGTATTGATGCTAACTCTTACAACCGATAGATCCACTGAACTTTACCTAGAACTTAAGGACTTTGACGAATACGAAGGTCCCTGCAACCTAGGAGCTACACCTAAACAGGAATCTAAAAATCTCGTATCTTTCAACGAACACATATCCAAGCGGCTCACGAAAGAACAGACGAACAACTTCATTTTGCAGGAAAACTATGACACCTTAGGGTTAACCCAATTGCAACCGTGGCCCAAAACCACTCTTAACAGGAATACTCTCGCACACAAAAACACATAACGTACATCGCAAAAATGTCAGACGTGACAAGTAGCAGGTAAGGATTGTTGCAAAAGGTTATCCAAATGAATAACCATTTCCACAAAATTCGACCAACAAGACCTACATACGTCAAAAGAAAAAGTGATTGGAATCACTCTTCAATTGATTAAAATCTGTTTTAAGTGCACCACCACAGCTACGCTCTCACCCATAGGGTCTGAAATTAGAATGTCTGCTTTCTCTGGCAGCTCAACCTCCTCAACTTTGCCATGGATGACCTGCAAGAAGGTCAGGCCGCTCAACCCTAAAGCACTGAATGCTGAATAATTCGCAAATACAAAACTATTTCAAAAGTCCAATAAGTTTCATTGCGTCTGGTGAAAACTTAAATATAAAAACTGGAGACTTCACAGCCTCCTTAGTCCCCAACAATGCGCAGCGCCCACTATTCCAACCCGCTCTCTCAGGCGAAAACCACGTGCTCAAACCGAGCTAAAAGACAAGCTGACAAATCAGTCTAGGACAAAGTGAGATAAGATAAAACGTAAACTATGCAAAATTCAAATGCGATAAATGATCTTTTAGTTTCCCTGCAAAGGATGCTTGTAAATTACATCGTTATGATGATGGCGCCCACAAGGAGGATGGCGACCCACAAGGATGTATCGTAAGGAAAAGAGACCGTGGAAAGCTACCACACAAGAGATTTACTTCAAGTTAACAAAAATCAAGACCAAAGGAGAACAGTAGAGGCTCTAATACACGTCTATCAAGTACGAGGTTGAAGAGCACATCGTACAGTGATACGCTGGCTCAACGAAGGACTCCCAGCTATAAGTAGACGGGCATTATCTGCCATAGCTGAGGCCTCGATGGCATATACATGCTTCGCACCTGCCTGAGCAACACACAGAGTTCAGATTAAAAGCTACGAACCACGATAACTCCAAAAGATCAACAGATGGTTTCACAAAGTGAGATGATTGTTGCTGATCTGTAGCATATCACAATCTCTCCAACAAGGAAACCAGAGGAACGTGATAAGTGACGTATAGTACAGATACTATACTTGCCTGTGCTGCAAAGAGTGAGAGAATGCCACTGCCCGCTCCAACATCAACCACAACTTTACCATGAAAATCTGCATGGTTTTCAATCACAGCTGCATAGTACGTGCCTAATCCCAAGGCAACCACGTGTTAACATACACTTAAAGATATACGAAGTCCCATATGTACCAGAACATTCTGAACTTGAACTATAACTAAAGAATTCATTTACACATTCTTATCATTTATTATATTTAAGTACATTCGTAGCCTGACAAACCTGTTCGGACATAGTCCTGGAGCATGTTTTGTTGATGCAGTAACTGTCCGTAGTAATGAAAGTACATTTTAGCAGATGATGGATCAATTTTTTCCTCAAACTTGTTTTTAGCCAATGTATTGGCATCAGTAGACGCTACAGTTTCTGCATGATATCAACAGGTTGAATTACAACTCGGGCTGCACCATAATCACCTTACACAACCAGATCCTGCAGTAGATTGCGTAAAAGACAATGCCATCGCACACGGTTACTTTTGGTGCGTTCGCGACACAATCTGAAAGTACCTAGCTTCGTGCCATTGTTCTTGAACTCCTGAATTGCAGAATAAAAAGCATTACTCGCTCTCTGTAAACAGCATTGGAGTCCAAAGGACATAGACTGCACAAAAACCACAAATGCAAGTCTAAGTGGCTAAAAGCCGACACGTCAACCTGCGGTAATAAAATGACAAGAACCATCACCGACACGAAGAAGACTCCAGGCAGGAAGGGTTGGAGTTTACTATTCAATGTAAAGGTAAGACTTTTACTAGACGCAAAGGGTTTGCAAGGAGGTGGACTTTGGACTCTCTATTCAATGAAATGCTAAAAACTATGAGCAATCAAGAAGTGACGACGAAGCAACATCGGTAATACCAATCCCCAACCCCGGTATTGTTGACGAGGTGACGACGAAATTTAGCATACAGAAAGATGGCTGAGGTCATGTATCGCATGTGAGAAAGTTAAAAATAAACCTGGGAAGGCCCCTCGTTAGCGTCGGAATCCTCCACAACCCACATTTGAAGCTTCGGGCCTATTTTCACAACCTGCACACATAGCCACCACTCAGCATTTGGCAATAATAGAAAAGAGCAATCGATCTCATCCGACCAAAAAAAAACCTTGGATGGACATAGCATCTAAAATTGCATCAGGTGATTAGTGATAGAAGAACACGCCCGCACTAATCAAAAAGAATGTAGTTAGGACAACATTAAACACAAGACTAAAGGCTATGTATTCAATACAGAGAACTTGATCCATGAAAACCCCAGACTACGAATGTAAGCATTCAAATCATCACTTCTCAGAATAAGATTAACATAACTGACCAACCAGACATTCCGCACTCTCACAGTGCCTTGAGGTAATCTCAGAGGTACAGCGGCTCTACGAAATACCAGAATAACATTGAAATCACAGAGCAGCAATGGTGTAAGAGTACGGTCTTCCAGATGAGATTAACAGACCTGCGATAGATGCAAATAGCACCTCTTGAAGGGTTCTAACTTCTCGTTCTTATCAGTTGGTCGATAAATTCGGAAAAATTCCACAAACCGTCCTTGTCTATCGCTCTTGAAGACTGCGGAGACGGATATAGGTCGACCGAATGCTGGCAAGACTTCGGATCCCCCATCCACGACCGTCTCGATCAATGGGAAAATGGACATGCCATTGAAATCCCCGTCTGTTTCCGAGCCAGAGGATGCCTCCATGATTATTACTTGCGTCAGTGGTCCCAAAAAACCCTAGCAATCTCGCACCTACGCATAACACGACATCTTCAGCCACTATAGCTAACCGTTCAAACCGTCAACCCATTAGCCAGCTCCATGAGTCAATGCAGATGCGGAATAATCCTCCCGAAACCCCTAGCCCTACAACATTAGACAAGTGCGTTAACTAGCAGCATTCCCTCTGTCACATTCAACATAACTATGTAATATGCGCCTCACCAGCTAGATGTATAGAAATGACTTAAAACAATTTCATTCAAAAACCATAAAGTAATAAAGAATAGCCTCTTACAATAATCAAAACCTATCACAATCCAATCAAACCTTACGACACCATTTCAGGAAAACGTATTGCACGGGATGACAACATGCAGCTAGTTAATCCAAGAATGCTCAACCCCCAGCTCACCGACCCTTTCAAAACAACAGTACTCCCTAAACCCCGATCCTCACTCCAGAGTCCAGACCTCACTCTCAAACGTCGACAAAACCTCACCAATCCCAAAAACAAACCGCAGCTCGAAAACACCAACAACACCTCGCAAGGGCTACAAAGCACTCTCCCAAACAATCAACACAAATGACACAATCAAACAACTGCATTACTACAACCCTCCACAATAAAAAAATTAAAAAAATTAAAAATTAAAAATTAAAAAAAACAAAACATCACTGCCAACCTCCACAATGTCAACCTCTCTACAACACTCCCAACACCCCGCAACATCTTACACTTGCAAATGCCCAAATCCTTCACCTTACTACCCTCCCAGCACACAAATAAAACAGCTTTTAAGAAAACAATTGTATATATATATATATATATATATATATATATATAACTATAGAAACGAAATGAGAGATCAAGTGAGCCCCATACCAGCTCGATCGACAGGGACACGAAACAGCCAAACGGTGAATAGGGTTTAAAGCACCGCATCCTACAGAGCACATGAATCATATGTTTTGTTGCTACAGCCCCATCGCCCCCTCCCTCTCTCACCCTCCCGACCTGACGGACGCCGATACTTAAAACAACGTGGGGAGAGGGGGGGTTGCCGTTGGGCACTTGGGGATGCTGGCAGCGGGTGAGATTAGGCGTAACGGGTTGGCGTCATGTGATGGCGACCTGCGCCCGCTCCAGAAAACGAGGGACCGCCCCTCTCCAAGATTTCGACTTGCCGTACTGTCGGTGTATTTAAACCCTCGCTGGGTGGTGGTCGACGTGGCGCCGTTTGGATATGGCGGGAGCGGCCCTCACCCTCTTGCACTCCAGCTGTTGACCCCCCCATGGTCCACGTCGCCCCCTGATCCACGTCACTGGGGTCCAATTCACCTCCATCTCCTTTATGAGCCCCCTTGTGGCTTTGCTTCGTTTTGCTCAACCCTGGTTTGTCAAATTGTGTGCTGGTGAGAATAAAAGCATTGGTTGAGCTCATTATTAGTTGTTTCCAAGTTTTAAAGGTGTATTCAATAAAATCGAGTTCAGGTTTTATAGCTTGGTGAATATTCAGACGGCTCCATAAGTTGGGGTTGGTCTGAAGCTGGCAATTCATGGCAGTAAAAGAACGTGGTTTAATTGTGGTGATGTTAAGTTTTTTATAAGTAGGATTTTACTAGTGCTTTGATAGGTTGTGCATCCTTGCATGCTGTTCTGTTGCAGTTCGGGTAAGTACCTTACAGAACCTTCATTAAACCCAGTGAGATTGTTTGTTTGTTTGTTTCAAATTTCTATTATTTTTATGTTCAATTCCCCAAAAAAATAGGTGTCTTGATAATGTGCCTACTAAAAGTACAAACAACTTGTGCTGGGTAGTGATATTGCCTATGAAAGGTACAGACAAATTTCTTGATTTTTAAAACTAGTTTAATGAACAATCAAACTAAACAATTAAAAGATATATTTATTTCCTTCAAAATTGCTATTTGTTTTAGAGCAAAATAGCTTCATAGTTTGTTAGAATAAAGTAAGAAAATATTCTACTAACATCAATGCATCAAATTTATATTGACACATACTTCAATTATAAAATTGGGGAAATCATAAAGCAACTCAAATTTTTACTAGATCAACCCACATCTTTAAACCATCATTATACTCTTTAAATCCCATCTCCATTTCTAGCCATTCCCCTATTTCCAACCATTCTCATATTCCCTATTGTCACCCCCACCTCCATCCTTAACAAAAATTGAAAACAAGGAATAGCTAGGAATATGGATGGAGGCTGCAAGGGTGCAATGATGGTTAAGATAGAGTGGATTGTTTTAGTAAAAAACTTTGGATAACTTTATTATTCTCCTAAAATTAATGACATAAATAAATAAAAAATAGTTTTACAATAGATTGTGGAGTCTCAAAGGGTAGTGACATTATGAAAATAAAATATGCTTATGAATTAAATTAAAAAATTTAACATATAAAACAAATTAACTAAAATAAATGATACAAGTATTCTAATAGTAAAGAAATAGATCATGATAAAAATGATTTATTTAAAAAATATTAATCTAAAATTATACTTTTGACAATATTGAAAATAATGACTATTTAACATACAAAAGAAACCTAAGACAATAACTAAGATAATTAAGAAATTAATTGTGACATTAAAAAAAAATTACAAACAAATTAAATCAAGAAAGTTTATTTTTTAGGTTTTTAAATATATAACTTCAATGCATTAAGAGAATTTTTTTATAATATTTTAATAGAATTAGCTTTACATTAAGAAAAAAAATATGATAAAATTGTGTATATTAGATGAATATATGTGTATTTTAAATATATATATATATATATATATATATATATATTTATGAATAATGCTTTTACATAAGTATTGTTTTAATACATGCTTAAAGAAGTTGTTATATCTTTAAGAAATGCATTATGGCAAAGAATTAATTTACAAAATTAATAAGCTAATATTTGTATAATTAGTTCAAAGAAGCTATTTATTTATATATAAATTTATTAAAAAATTTAATAAATTTAATATTTATATATAAATTCAATATATTCTAAAAACTATATATACTTATTAATATTCTTAATATATGTACTGAACCATGAAGAAATGGTTGTTATGGCAAAAGAAAAATAAATTAACTTTTGATTGAAAATTGATCAAAACTAATGTGGGATTATGGTAGCAATAGAAAAATTGTGGTGGCAATAGCAACATTATGAATTAATTTTCTTTAAGTTGTCAATTTTTTTTTTATTGATAAAGTATTAAAATTTTCATAATAATAAATAAAATAAAAATTTAAATTCACAAAATATAATTAAAAAATATATATATATATATATATTATTTTAAAATAATATGATGGTTAATTTATAGTTTTTTTAATAAATAAATACTTATAATAATAAAAAAAACTACTTACAGTTGCTATACTATTTATTAATATGACATAAATAAAAATCAAATCTTAAAACCTTAGTAGTAATTAAATCAAATTTGAGTAAAATTTTCAACTTTTTATAGTTCATCTTTAATTCTTAAAAAAGAAAAATAGAAATATTGCTATCTTAATATTTTATCTTAAATTTTTTAATAGTATTTTAGAATATTATAATATATATATTAAAGGAAACAAAAAAAAACTATTCTTTAAATAAGAAATGCTTTGAATTTGAAAAAATATTAATATATATTTTTTTAAAAAACTAATGTAAAAGACTCAATTTCTTATTTACAAGATAGTATATTTGAAGCTTGTAAAAAAATATCTTTAGATATAAAATAAATAATATTACAATTTATCTTATTATTTGATGCCTTTATTTTTAAGGCACATATATTTGATACCCTTCATTGGGTATTTTAACACTCCTCATGATCAAATTTATGAATTCATCAAAATTCTTTTTCTACACAACCTTGACACCTCACCAATTGCCACATAGCTTAGACACCTTGCAATCTCACCATACCACAACCTTGTTTGTTTCTTACTTATCTTCCCTCCATTTTCCTTGATACCAAAATCTTTGTGCCCAATTTCAATCATCCAATTTAGTTGATACGTATTTAATTAATTTTAAAGATGATTTCTATATTTAATAATTCAATTTATATAATAACAAGAATACATTAATTAAAACTGATGGATTAATGTTTTTTACATTCTGGTAATTTTTATATCAAATAATTTAAAGATTTAGAATTGTTCAGTATATCTTGTAATACTTATTGTGAGTAGTTTTTTTTATAGATGTGCTTTTTATCTGCATAATTTTTATTCTAAATGCATAAAAAAATAATACAATAATATTCCATTGTTTACGTTTCTTTAATTTAGAATATTTATTGTGATAAGAAATGTGTTATTTGTTAATTCGAATTTAATAATAATATCAAAACTAAAAATATAAAAAATCTTATATTATTATCTTAAGTAATATAATTTTGTATATGATGGTATTTTTTATTCAAAAGTATTTATTAAAATTTGTTTTAATATTTACCATTAATAAAATAGTATTTATGAGAAAAAAGAGTTTTTAAAATTAAATTTAAGTTTTACTAATAGTAATATTTAATGATTTAATTATTTATATTAATTTTTTTTAATAATAATTAATAAATTTAATGAATGTAAATTTAATATTATTAAATAAATAAATCTTTTTATGATTTAATAATTAGGTGGTTTATTTTTTAAAAATAAATGTGAAGATATGTTTTGATATCTATATTTATTCTTATATAACTAAAAAGGTGTTATAATTAATTAAAGAAATGAATTAAAAAATAAATATTATGCTTAATTCTAGATTATATTCTAATATTTTAATAAATTTAAAAAGGATGTATTGGAATATATATATATATATATATATATATATATATTATTTATCTAAATAAAATTTAAAATCTAAGATATATCATATATTTTTTACTATGTAAAATAAATAATAACCGATTGAAATACTTCTAATCAAATATACAATATTTATTATATTATGAAATATTTTATGATAAAAAATTATCTTATAAATATTTCCAATGATACTGAATTCTTCGTGAAATTAAAGTGCTGTTAAGATTTTAAAATTAGTTTATAGTCCATGTTTAAACATTTAAAACTTTGATCTTTCAACTCATCTTAATTAAATTAGTTGGATAGTTGTAAATTTAGTTGTAAATATTCTTAAGTATGAATTTTCTATTATGCTCATATAAGTTATTATGAGGTAGTAAGCATATTAATTTATATCATTTGTTTGTCATCAAGAATGATTTGTTGTTTGTTATTGCTTGTATGGAAAAAAAATAATGTTTTTCAAATGCAATGATTGTATACCATCATACAACATTTTGTAAATATTTTTGTAGTATAAAGGTTTTGATATTTGAAAAAATAAAGAAAAGAAGACGTGTGGTATTATTTTAAATAAATATAAAATATTCTTATTAAGTTTTTTTAAAATATAAATTTATAAAAAGAAAAAAGTTTATTGATAAATTGATGATGTCATCAGAGGATTGAAATAGACTAGGATTCAGAAGCAAAAATAAGAAAAGAGATAAGAAAAATTATGATTTGATAATTTTTGTATAAAAGGAGATCTCACCACGGTATTTATTTAAGGATTTTAAGGCATCAACTGAAAGATTCTAAGATATTATTTAGATGCTTACAATATATCGATGCAGGTATAGTCAAGATATGTGTGTGATATAAACACTGTATGTAGGTAAGGTAGGCAAGGTATAGACAAAGGTATCATATTTGTGATAAAAATTAGATAAAAATTAGAAAGGTAGTAGCCACAACAAAGTCTCTGATCTTGAAGGAGAGTTTTTTCTCCAATTCTCTCTAGTTTTATTTTGCAGGGTGTTTTTCTCATGCTACACTTTTTAGATTGTGTGTGTGATTTTGAGGATAACAAAGAAATTGATATATATATATATATATATATATATTTGGGATGCTAGTGGTGGCCATTGTGCATAAATTCCAACGATGATAGTAACAAACAGTGTATTAGTTCAGAGTGGTGTTGTCATAGTCTCTTTTCAATTGCCCTTGTAGGAAAATCTTTGTAGTTGTGTGATTTCTCCTTGCTCTAGTTTGTTTAAATATGTGCTTACTTATACTTAGTGACATTGCTTTGCCACTTGCAAGTAATATAAGTGTG